AGCAAAGCTGTAACATTTCCCAAGTGACACAAGCAACGCTTCAAAAGCTTGCATAGGTAATAATGGGCCAAGATGGGTAACAAATACTATTAGCTGTCCTACAATACTAGCCAGAGAGGTGCAGTGACAGTTTATGGGGTCTGATAATGTGCAATATAGTTACAGTTTGGCTTCATTTGCTGCAGTTAACAAATCTGTGCAGCGGATGCATGTTTATGTCTACTACCCTTGAATCACTGAGTACATCAAACAAGTGAGGTGTTCCAAGGAATGTTCTTGAAGGCATAATGCACCCTTCAGCTTTGGTTGTGTGGGCTGTCACTTTAAAGATGAAAACAGCAGGTCTCGGAAGGTTTTAGTACACGTTGGTACTGCCTAAAACCCAAGGAAAGCTCAATAAAGCATACTAGCAAAAGATCTCCCATTGGAATCTGAATTTTACATCCCACAACGGAGGCTGAAGGGTGCTTTAAAGGCTTCAAGAATGCTGCTGAAAGCTTGCTGCACCCACTGCTCCTATCCAAGCCGCAGCCTGTGTAGGCAAGGCCTCTGCGTGCTCAACAAGGTCAAGCACATTAAAGTGTACGTCAGGGCAAAGTAAAAATATATACGCGGTACATCCCTGCAATAACTGCAGATGTTTATCACTTATCCAAAAATAATGCAGATAGAATATACTTGTTGATCTGGCAACTTCTAACTTCCTGTTTGATCTGACAATGCTACCTGTGCGCACTGAAATCTCAACCAGTGTTGTCATCCCCATCTGTTGGACTTCAGAACCCCCCGCCCCTTTCTGTCCCTCTACATGTGCATACGTTGATTAATTTCCCAGCAAAACAATGCTACTGCCTTGACTCCCAATAGCCTGCCCACACAATCTGTGTAGTTAGGGCTCTTGGGACGTTTAGTTCTGGGGAAGGGGGGCATGTCTACATCAATAGGAACTGAGGTCCCAGCAGCTGCCACTACAAGACTTTGACATAAAATGGAGTAAGAAAAGCTGTTCCTCACTAAAGGAACAAGGTAAAAAAAAGCAAACAAATGATCTGGGGGGGGGGGGGGGCGGGGG